CCAATTGGGTTTAGTTGCAGTAATGGAATGGGTTGGTCATAATTTTTTACTTCCCGCCTTGCCCCCCACCCCCTTTTATTTAAAATCAACGCTGCCAGTGGGCGTATATTACCTTAACTGGCAAGCTACCTGATACAATTCAAGGGAGGTAACTGATGAAAATATTAATTTGTGAAGTGACAAAATAGCATTAACTACTCAACACCCCAACACCATGGCTTTGGTAATTTTATAGCTTTTCATTTAACAGGGGAACAACTAACAAGTGAATGGATTTATACCGTATCACCGAATAATAGTCTTGTCTGATGTAGTAATCGATACCTCGATCTTAATGACAATATTGGTTAATTTATTAATTGTTTTGGTTTTTTTTTATTCGAAAAAGTGATAGTAACAGTTCGATGCTCCAGGACATCTTAGTTGAATATCTCACCCCTTCCTGCCACGAATATATCATTTGAATACATGAATACAGAGATAGTTATCTCTTCAACTATATACCATATCTTGGTATCAAATTAGTAACTAAAGCGCATCTAACTAAATATACCATTTTTACTCTCAAATTAGCCTACTGACTTGCATATTAATATCCTGTTAAATGAAATAATTGAATTTCACGGAATTTTATATAAAACCTCCCCCAATTGTTCACCACTCCAGATATTGCAATTCAACCGACATATCAACATGAAAGTCACTCCAAAGCTTTTGGCGGTTTTGATATTTCTTCTCGGTTTTGATGATACAGAAGGTTAGTAGTATTAGTAGTCTTTAATTTTCATGAAATTTTTTAATGAGTCATATCAGCTATTATTCGAGTATTTTGATAATCAGCCAAATAGAACTCTAAATTTCTTTTACACAGGTTGGCTTTGGAGTAAAAAGCCGAAGGACATACAGGTAGATTTCTGGTTATACACCAAGAATGGTAATTCTAAAGAAACCATTACAAAATCTAGTTTGGCTAGTAAATTCGTCAATGGTGCTAAAACTATTTTTTTGATCCATGGCTTTAATGACGAGGGGAGTTCTGATTGGATGCACAAATTGAAAGACGAGCTTTTGAAATTGGTATGTATAATTCTTTACTGTGCTGCTTTCAAGAAGATGACGTGTTCTCCTTTACATATTAATAAACCACACGACAGTCTGTTCGGCGTATAGAAACTGATTTTAGCAATACTTCTGCCATAATGGTCATGTTCTACGTTTCATTTTTTTACCTTTGTATTTGATTGATTTACAACAATTAGAAACAGAGTTATTAGCGTTTTTTCAGTACACACTGTAAGGTTTCATTGGAGGTGATGGATGAATGTGTTCAAGTTTTGATTGCATTTATATCGGTTTCTTTCAATTAACATACAATATTATGCATTATCCAGCCAGGGTCTTTGAATGTGGTAATAGTTAACTGGAAGGATGGTGCATCTGAAGCTTATGGTCAATCTGCCCAAAACACAAGAACTGTGGGAAAGAAAACTGGAGATATTATCAAAGCCATCCATGAGAATAAAGGAGTTGCTTATAGCAATTTTCATATCATTGGTCATAGTCTGGGAGCTCATTCAGCAGGATTTTCTGGTCAAAGAGTTACAGAGTTAACTGGTGATAAAATTGGAAGAATATCGGGATTGGATCCTGCAGGGTATAAATTTGCTAGTAAAGATGCTGATGAACGACTATCAATTGGTGATGCTGATTTTGTGGATGCAATGCATACTGACGACGGAGTATTACTTTCCTTATGTAAGATCCTTTCTATTACTTTTCTTATGTAAAGCCAACACTATTCTTCTTCTTACGTAAAGCCAACACTATTCTTCCTCTTATGTAAAGCCAACACTATTCTTCCTCTTATGTAAAGCCAACACTATTCTTCCTCTTATGTAAAGCCAACATTATTATTCTTCTTATGTAAAGCCAACACTATTCTTTTTCATATGTAAAGTCCATACCATTACTATTATATGTAAGAACAATGCTATTACTTTTTCTTATGTAAGATCAAGGCTATTATTTTTATATGTAAAACTTATCACTATCACTTTGCCCCAAATATTTTTTAGAATGCCCCAAATTTAATTCATTTTCCAAACCTTTGAATTTTAAACTTGATAGTTGTCCCGCGCGATGAAGTCAATCTGAATTTGAAATTCAAAATATATTTGAAATTAATTTTTACAGCTTTCGGATATAAAAAAGGTGAAACTGTCGGCCATGTTGATTTTTATCCTAATGGCGGACAATATCAACCCGGATGCTGTAAGTTTGATTTTTCAACCCCCTTGTTGCTCAAAATTAATGAGTGTTCTATACAAGCTTTGCCAACCATAAACGAATTGGATATCTATTGACTAACATAAAATTAGTATTGCTCTTTGCATATGTACAGTGGTTTTTGATTGGTTAAAATACATGTATTTTTACTAATTCATTATGATAAATCGTGGAGGTTTTCATGGTCAGAACACAATCGTAAGCTTTTCTAGCTCATGTAAAGAAAAATCTGCATACTATTCAGATATTTCCTTTTTGCATTGGCAGCTTTCTTCGATGTTGGTTGTAGCCACGGCAGAGCTGTTGACTACTTCACCAATTCAATCAACACATGTCAGTATCAATCGCATAATTGTCCCGATGGAGCAGTTTTAACAGATGTTAAGATGGGATATCATTCTTCTACAAGTTTAAGAGGAACATATTGTCTTGAAACTGCAAGTGAAGAGCCATATTGTGTAAGTATTTTAAGGCATAATGAAATATCCATTATTATATTTTTTTTTGTGTAAGGTTGATGTAGACAATTGTTAAATGATTTTCTTACTTTATTATTATCACAATTTGTTCTTTTTGGCAAATATAAAACCTTCGGACCCCCATCCATCTTCTCCATACAATTGGTATTACTTATTTCTCTTTTATTTCAGGACGTTTAAAATAAATACTCACAGAATTCAATCTTGCCATATTACTCGATGTTATAGATACATCTACATACAAAATTCCCCAAAATAAAGCATTTAAATTCTAATCTGAAGTTAAGTTATTAAACTCGGCTCTTCAAAGAGGGCTCAGATCTACCATAAGACAGGTAAAATTTTGAAGGAAATGTGAGTTTCAACGATTGCAGCAACTTTGACACATGAATCGTAATACTGACTGCTTTCAATTCACATGCCACACAATAATAGTCGATGACCAGCCAGTTGGTCGCAGCTGCCTGTAATCTGCCTATTTGTCGACGTAAGGGTCTCGAATCGATGCCTTGTGTGTGTGTGCTATATGCGTCAAAGATTATCAGACCAGCATCAGTATTACTTACACCATACATAATTGTTTACGCTATTGATATCGATATTGTCAATGATATTAATTCCACCTTTCATGTCAGCGATTAGTTATTAATATTTCCTGTTGATATTATCTTCAACCGCTTTCATTTATGAACAAGTCAATGGGTAAAATTCAGTATTTCTACTATATTGGTTGCTTAATGTTCTTAATGATGTTTAAACTCAAAAAACCGAATCAGCTCAAAACCGACTAAACATAGGTTAGGCCTATAGATTACACTTTTACCACAATGTTTATTGAAATTTGGCAATCATTTCCATAAGAGTTGAAATATTACTTACGAAATAGTTATCTTTGGTTTGACGAAAAAGTTAACCACTGAAAAAAATATTTATGGTCAAAATGATTTTACAGAGGGGAATTTTCAGTCGGAAATGTAGGACATTTTCACTTTTGTTTTTTTTTCTGGGAGGGAAGTGTGTCTATTTCAAATATAAAAACACTGAACTTTATATTTCTATGGACCCTAAGACAAATAGCATAAAGTTGAAATTTTTATTTTTAATAATTGCGAAATGGGAGAAACTTCCTATAAAACTACAGAAATGGACAATATTCACATAACGGCACGTGCGGTGACAGATCTCGTTCAAACTCATCTTGATATCGAGGCAATGCACGTGTGGATAAACACACACAAGTACATGTATAATGATTGTTTTTTACTAGTAACTGAAAACATAAAACTGTGTCAGTAAAAAGAAATGTATGGAGTTTTACGTCCTATTTTTCTTCTAACCTAACTGAGCAAACGAGGATGAAAATACTATGTAAAGTGACTGGAAAATTCAACATATATAATGATGTAAAGAAACACAATAAATGGCTACTTTTTATGTTATTCGTTGTGGTTCTCGAATATTTGGATAAACATTGATATAAGTACTGAAATATATTCGTCTTAGAAGAAAGATACTTTAACACCCAGAAAACACGAAAAAATTAAAGTAAGTGTTTTGACGTTGTTACCATTACTTATGCTTAAAAAAGCTACATACCCCTTCTATTATCTTTGCACACGCTGCTAGTCTAAATGGAATATCAGGGTTCGAAATAGTACTGAAATATAATCTATAGAAAAATCTTTCAAGTTTTGGTTGGAAATTTGTAAATACAGTTTCAAAGTTTTGTAAGAGCCGTGTAGAATATATACAAAACTTTGAAACTGTATTTACAAATTTTCAATCAAAATTTTAGAGATTTGGAAGGAAGACTATTCATTTCTATTTTGAACCCTTATATTTCATTTAACGTAAAATTTGATTGGTAAATTCGACTAATTAAAAGTGGGCAATGAGGTTCGATTTAGCATTAACTATCCAAGGTCTGATCATTATACACAAGTGCATGAAGTTCAAAATCGTCATCACAATCACAAACCAAAGTTGACTTATTTTCAGGGCAAAAACTAAAATAATATACATGCAAAAATGTTTCATAGGATTTTGTTTTTCTTATGCATTTTGTTTTTTTATGTATTTAGTTATTTTCCAAATACATTCATCGAAAATGAAACGACAGCCGACTACATAACTATCAACATCAAAGTGCCACCCCCTCCAACCCTCCCCCCTCCCCCCACCACACTTTACCCCCACTGTTCCCGCCATTAATAGAAAGTCAATTGGTAAAAAAATTCAAACAAATGGGGTAGTGTGAGATTCTATAAGATTATCCCGTTTTCGAAAGTGATAAAAATCCCACCTCACTTTGCTGTTAACGATTTCTGTCATATATAATGAAGGAGATTCTAATAGATTGTGTGTGACTGAAATATAAATAAAATATAAATAATGTAAATCATTATGTCTACTTTCCCATATAGGTGATAAATCCTGTTTCTCGGTAATAAGTGAAATCTCGTCTACTTGTTCTATTTGTTGAAAGAACCGAGTTTCAAAACATAATTTGTTAGTTTGTGTAGAGAGCTTATAAAGGAAACTTGACGTAAATCTTAGTACGCATTTTGATGTTATTACCGCAGACTACTGGTGTCGGTTAGCAGGTTACAAGAAATTAATCACTAATTTGATTATTCTGACTCTTACGTATTGTGTCAGCTGTCATATTGAAATGATCAACGCAATTTTTTTTTTTACCATACGACATTCCGAAGCCGAAATGTGTTTAAAGGAATACTACCTCATAGAATGAATAAAAGTTAGGCCAATAAAAATACATGTATAATCATCAATGAACTGATCTTGTGCCATGACTATACAGCAGAATCCATTTATAATCCGATAAATCCATATAGCTATACGTAATTAACCTTAAAACTACGCAATAAACTGAATTATTTAATATGCTACAACCATGAAGATGTATTTTGTTTTTGGATGTCATATTGACAAATGTCACGGATATTATTTCCGTCATATAATAGACCTTAGACATCATCTGTATCAGTTAACTTCATTATTAAGAAATTTGTCGTTGAACATTTTCTACTCAGACATGTTATCTTTTAAAATTTTTCCCGTTCTTATTCTGCTTGGTTATACTTTTGGGATGTGAAGGTTAGTAATGATATATCAATACTTATTCTTTGTGGATTGTTATTATATTCTGTCCCTTGAAGACCATCGTTTTAATATTTTTCATTCTTTGAAGACCGTAGTTTTAATATTTTTCATTCTTTGAGGATCATCGTGTTAATATTTTTCATTCTTTGAGGATCATCGTCTTAGAATTTTTCATTCTTTATGGACCATCTGAGGACCATCGGACAAGCGCTATCATATTGTTTTATCTTCTACGGACAAGCGCTATCATATTGTTCTATCTTCTATGGACAAGCTCTATCATATGGTTTTATCTTCTATGGACAAGCGCTATCATATTGTTTTATCTTCTATGGACAAGCGCTATCATATTGCTTAACTTCTAAGGACCATTGGTATCGTATTGCTTACTTCTAAGGACAAGCGCTATCATATTGCTTAATTTCTAAGGACAAGCGCTATCATATTGTTTTATCTTCTATGGACAAGCGCTATCACTTTGTTTTATCTTCTATGGACAAGCGCTATCATATTGCATATCTTCTACCGACCATTTCTAACAAATTGCCATTGCAATAGGTATATACTTGTATGCAAATAATTAGTGTTTCAAATTTCATAATAGATTTAGTTCAGTTTCATTTAGATATAACTTCCGACCTACCGTGTTTCTTTCTCAGGTTTGTGGTCAAAAACTAAAAGACAAAATTTCAACATAGACTTTCTCTTATATACCAAAAACAACAGAGGATCCCCTCAGAAAATTTCACCAGCGAATTTGGGAAGTCGATTTGTTTCTGGTGCTAAAACGTTTTTATTGATTCATGGATTCAGAGATAGTGGCAACGCTGGATGGATACAAAATATGAAAAATGAACTTTTAAAATTGGTGAGTTTTCTGTTAACTTAGTTGGGGTAAGATTGGTAAAGCTGTAAGGATATCTCTTAGAAAAATATCGTGTGATGGGTGAAAAAATTCTTTTGGGAACTTATAAATGAATATTGCTGGTCGTCTCTGACAAACCTATGATGATAAACCTTGAGCATTCTGAAAATCATATTTTCATTGTTGGAGACTCGGCGGAGACCAAGAGTTAGACTGGACATATATTGATCCAATTCTCTGTATTCATATTTTCAGTCTGGGTCATTAAATGTAATAATTGTAAACTGGAAGGTTGGAGCAGGCAAAGCTTATGGACAATCTACTGAAAATACAAAAACTGTAGGCGAAAAAGCCAGTGCCTTGATTGTAGCGATCAAAAAGAACAAGGCGGTTGCCTATAGTAAATTCCATGTGATTGGTCATAGTCTTGGTGCCCACGCTGCAGGTTTTGTTGGTAAAGGCGTTATCAAAGCAGCAAACGACAAAGTAGGAAGAATTACAGGCTTGGATCCTGCTGGTTTTAAATTTGCCCGGAAATCGCATTCTGGAAGACTTTCTTACAAGGATGCTGACTTCGTAGATGTAATTCATACCAATGACGGTACTTTCCTTCGACTAGGTGAGTTGAGATGTTAGTGGGAACCGGTTCTTTTTATACGCCAACATTTCAATTTTTCCGACGGTTTGTTCAGAATTAGCTCATGCTCACTCGAACAGCTCTAAATTTCGGCCTCTTCTTCATTTTTGTGACGGTGTGCTACTATTCCGATTTTCAGTCAATGACTTTGTGTGAAAGTACCGGAAATGACATCACTGTTCCAATGCTTCCGAGAGTCGACTCAGTGTCGGCTCTCATCCCCTAATATTTAATCACTACTTTGCAGTCTTGTACTAACACTACACCTGTACTCTTTCACTTTATTTTAAGTAACGTTTTGGGTTGTTTTCAGCTTTTGGATACCTTGCCAACAAGATGATAGGTCATGTAGATTTTTATCCAAATGGTGGTCGCAGACAGCCTGGTTGTCCAAACGTTTTTAGCTTCAATTCCTCTTTATGTATGTATAACTTTTAATATGGTCTTTATACAAGATAATAATTGCATTGTAAGCTATGTATTTGGCCGTTTTTATTTCAATACATGTATGTTGATTAGTCCCTCTCGATGATTTCGATGTTTCATTTAAAATGTTCACTTTGAAAAGCATAGTCATGGGTTTCTAATAGATACAGATCCAATTTCATGTATTGTTACATTTTGTAGCATTGAAGTCCCGATTGGCCTGTAGTCATATGAGAGCTACAGCATACTTCACTAACTCCATCAAGAAATGTCAGTATAAAGCAAAAAGATGCACGTCCGGCAATACTTTATCAAATGTCAAAATGGGGTTTCATGCCACCAAGAACTTGAGAGGAAAATATTGTATTAAAACCAGAGAAAAAGAACCTTTCTGTGTAAGTACACTGATCATTATATTGACTAAGCGCAAGGATTTCTAATTTTACGTTAACCTTTTTTATGTAAAGGCCATTATTTTGGTTAACGGGGTAGGCTGATTGCTATTAATAGTACATAACATGGTCGATGTAACTACTGGATTTTCTTAATGATAGCAGAAACAAAACAGTTGTACTTGTGCCTCGTAGGCCTCGTGATTGCTTCCTCACCTCTGCCCGGAGTCCCCAGTGGCGTTTCTAGGACACATTAGTTGAGGGGCCGAGCATGGGCCACAAAATTTTCCAGATGGGGTAGGCCAGCCTTTTTTTTTTACTGTTTTAATTAGATTTTGTCTAAACCTGGTCATGCGGTCTACCGTGAAAGTTCCACTAGCGCTCTGATACATGCAGATACAACTTGACGGAAACTGTCAAGGATTGCCGAAGGAAACCTGGCGTGTATATCGATGGTTCTCATTTGAGTTTGATTTTCATGAATTTCATGGCTGTGTAGTTGTGTTTATCTTGGGAAGAAATTTATTGTTGTGTGAGTGTATAGCGACCTCTCGTTAATGTTCATTAACATATTATTATGCAAATTATTTGTTTTCAGGCAGCTTAATGTTCAGCCAACAAGAATATTTAAATTGTATTGAGGCTGTAAAGTCCTGTGAACTCGACAATAAAAGTTTGGAATGACAGTGTAATTTTTACAAGTAATCTTACTGTTGATATCCCAATCTGATATGTGTGTGTGCATTGATGTAACCTTTCGCCTACCGTGACGATGATTTTTTTTACAATTGAATATAAATTGTTAAAGGGTGTTTCGCTTTTTTTTTATAAAAAAATTTTATTATCAAAAACGTTGTAAATTATTCCTGAAAAGTATGCTTTTTATATCTATGTATCTTCTTGATCAAACTGAATTTATTGTAAAAACAGAGAGTACTAATTGTTAATGAAGCAGTTTGACCTAGTTTTGGTGTTTGGCTTTATAATGGCTCGTTATTAATAGTTGAAACCTTTAGAACATGTAGGTGACATATTTCTCTACAATTAGGCGTTTATTTTACACAAAACCGTGCAGTAGTTTTCAAACAGCTTCCGAAAAGCATAACAACTAAAAACCTTACGTAATGTTTTAAAATATTTTTGGCGTGCCGATTTTTTTAGGTTAAACTTTCAGATACGTTAAAGAGCAAATTTCTCCAGATTTTGGTGTATAGTTTTTACTTATTTAAGCAAAAAAAACAAAAAAAAACATTCGACCTACAAAAAACGGAATGTCTCTTTAACATACACGGTCTGTGGCACAAGACTGGTTGAAAATCCGCAGGTATACTGTAAGACATATGCTGGGATCGAAAATGGGAAATGGAGTGTCGAATCACATTATTCGATTGCACGGGACATAATGTTTTTCAGAAGGATTCGCTTTCGTCTTTAGACAAGAAAGCTCTTATCTTATTGCAAAAGTAAACACTGTTTAATATGCCGATATTAAGACATAAATATTGAAACATCTTTCCAAACATACTTCAAACATTTCGGTTGATACCCAGAACGACAATGAAACATTTTCAAGCATTTATATTAACATTTTATTATCACAATGATGCTTCTGTAAATATAAGTTATTATGACAAATTCACGGTTGATTTATTTCATAGGTAAGTTTAAAGCCAGTGTTCCCCGTCCAGAAATTATCTGTTTTGAAATGTACCATAATTTGGTGCCAGTTGAATATATAGGGACTGTCTACATGGTCACCACAATACCTGTAAAACAAAAAAATAACTTCAAGTCTTTTGGTTTTCTCAACCAATATCGTATTCTTACATTCGAGATCAATGGTTGTATCACAATCTGCAAGCTAGTATTTTGAACATATTATCGGAAATACGCGTTCTCAATGCAGACAAATTATTGTCGCATTTCCGGTGAATATAGTCCAAACCGGAAGTAACTTTTGATCCCCATTTGCAATTGGACAAATTTCCATTGGTTATAGAAATAGGTTAGGATTTAAACAATGGCCCATCTCTGACCCTGAAATAATGGGGATATCCTACCTCTGGCCAACTTTTTCAAACCCGTAAACTTTTAATTCCAAGAAATCACAGTTACACCATTGACAATCGTTTGCATTATCAGTATCAAATGAATCTATATCAATAGTTATAGTTGAACCTTCTGGTCCCTACAATAGAATGTTTTTACATGACTGAAGAGTTAAACCATTTGCCTATTTCTGGAGTGATAGCTGCCATTGGTCTGTATGTCATGCTCACGAATTTATCTGGTATCGGACATATGACACATACAAATGATTCATCAATTGTAGGCCTATTCTACCATATCTGCATATTATTTTAAGTTTGGAGTATTTGTTCCAACCTATCAGATTGACTTCAGATATTTCGTCTTAAACCTCATTATTATTCAACTACTTACTCTTATTAACCAGTAACAGTTCTCATTATTAGGATAATCCCCTGGAAACCATATAGAAGATATAGTTCCTTTATCATCAGATAGAATTGATCCGCCACAACCTACAAAAGATACATTCTTACTTACATTAATGTATTAGAACAATATCTAAAACATGTTACTCTTAGTTTACCGCTGTGCGATGTTACTCAAAGAGTCGCTCAGTGCTATTTAATAACATATTTTGGGTTCTGTATTAATATTTCTATATCGCTCTTATTTTGAGGGTCAGTTTTGAAAATATTTATTGTATGAAATTGAGTTTTCCGTCCTACTTTTCTGCACCTAATTTATTTAATGAAGACAAGAGCTTTTTGTAGGAGTGGTGTTATTACCTGTATGTGACGTAATAATATTCTGACACAATTCACCAATGAAACCATCAGGACATATACAATCACAGTTAGGACCTTGATACCCTTCATTCTCACAGAACTTCTGTTCACAATGGTCTGAAATAGTATATTAATAATATGCAAAATTCTGATCAACAATTTAAAAGGGCGAATATTTACATTTTGTATGTCGTAAACACTCTAAAATGCACAAATCTTGATGGATTTTGACGAAACCTGGTGTTTGTAATCACCCAAGGTTAAACCCTTCTGGAAATCAGACAAATCGAAAAAATTAATTAATTATTGCACTAATTTTGAAAATGCGTTCAGTTTTTAGCTCTTAAACACCCCAGAAGCCAGAAATCTTGATGGGTGAGTGTTTGTAATCACCCAAAGATAACCCCAATTTATAACTAAAATAACCACTGAGGCACGATTCTTGCTAGATTTTGACAAAAATATTGTTCAGTATTACCCAAAAATGTTTAAGAAAGTGTATGACTCTTAAGGTGTAATATTTCATACTGTTAAACGTTACTGTACTGCCAATTATTTTTATTTAAAACCAAATCTGACAGTGGACGTATATTACCTTGTCTGGCAAGATATCTTTAGAATGTTTATGAGTCGAAAATCGAATGAGTTGCGAAGAACAGGGTGCAAGGGGAATGACTACTAAATGTTTGTGGGAGGAGATGGTTCTAACGGGGTTATCCATAAGTAATGATAAATAATTTAACAAAATTGTGTCCTGATTTGCCAAGAATTTTGCTGTCTTACTTGGAATTGTGGATAGACTTGTGGACAGACCGACGAACGTAGGTGGCGATATACATAATTTGCGTGTAAAAGAAAATTAAGACTATACTTACTATTACACTCGTAGATTTCATTAATTAATCTGATGTCTAAGAAGCTCGGAGCCTCTCTTTGTCCTATAGTCATCTGTAAATGTGGATCTATAGTTTTTACCGTTATTTGACCATTTTTTGTATATGCCTGGAATATTTCGGAAAAAGTAGTTATGTTTGGAGGGAACTATACGCATTTTACATTCATTTCTTGTATACTAAATGCATTCATTTCTTGTATACTCAGAGAATCATTTCAAAAGTAAAGGAGGCGACATTAATACTCGATACTTACTGTGGAACTGTAATGCATGATAGATCCAAAGTCGTAAGGTTCGCCATAGGTAGTGATTGTTCCTGCTGGGTACTTATCAAAATCGTGTGTTCTGGTTGGTATTATATTGCCGAATACGATCTCTACATTACCATCTCTATCTGGTCTTGATTGTTCATGAACAAAACCTAAAGTATGGCCCAGTTCGTGAATTATAGACCCTTTCTGAAAAGGACAAAAAAGTATTATTCAACCAATGCCAATGTGTTTTACTCACATGTAGTATGTACTCGCTCTGAAAAACATTTAATTGTTCTGGACTGTATTGGCAAACCGTTTTTTGAGATTCCTAGTTCCAACTTCAAGACTCCTCACTGACTTGGCTTACCCCTCATTCTTTGCTTACCAGTGAACAGTGTCCCCGACTTCGACCTTAGTTCCTACGTATCGGCACGTTTCTCTTAAATTGGTGTTATTTAGTAATACAACAAACATGGTAACCCGACATTTCTGTTTCAGAAATACTTGATGCTTTCAATTCAATACATACCCGACATCTACCAATGGTAATATTTTGGCCACCAGGAACCTTCCCAACACTGGTTATACAACTGCAGTAGTGAAATAAAGCACGCAATTAAAAACACATTACAGAAACTGAATATATTCCATTAGTAACTTCAAATTGGTAACAACAAAAAGTGTTCATTTTGACTTGATCGAGTTTCTATTACATCGGCTAGATATTTATTTATTATTTAGCGAAATGTGGTGTCTCTTAGACAAGAAATGTAATTGAATTTTAAAAAAAAAACTTACTCTTCCCCATGTGAAATATGTACGGAATCTGTATGGCCAAGTTGAGCAGATAATGTTGGCGTAGCTAGACGAAATTCTACACAAGTAACTTTTTCCCAAACATACATAGCATCTGTTACCCATTGTTTATGAAAGGATGCTTTAAAAGAATAACTGAATGATCAGAGAAACCGAATTAAGATATGCTTTTCTTTCTACACTTTGTAAACTTAAAGGCGTTGAAACGTTAGCAATCTGGTTAGATCGCAGTCCTATAGAATGTTCGTTTCGTGTTTAATTCCGATGTTTTGCTGCACTTGTGATCCTTTGGCGAAATTGCTATGCAGCGTGTGTAAGATGTAATAAATAAGGATTTCCGTAATTAGTCAATCATTAGAGCTTATCAATAAAATCAATTGTAGTTAGTAAGGACAATGAAAGAAGGGACATACCTAAATTGTCGTCTAGCGTAAACGGAATAATACCATATGGCCAGTATCGGCGGTAATCAGCAATCGCCTTACGTTTCCAGGGTTGTTGTGGGTGTATGTTCCGGGAAGCTCTGGAATCTAAATAAGCTCTTTGGTCTGGTGTGAGTTTCATATCGAATTCTAGAGAATCATTATTTCTGTTGTATTCTTCATCTGGTTTAGGAAGACCACGGGTTGACTGTGTTTGTAGAATAGCAAGAGGGTCTGGTGCCACTGGTTTATTCACATTGGTCTGTAAAGAACTACTCGTTATTAGATTCCTGGAAAAACTCAAACATCGCTTTCTGCTCATCTTGAACGTACAAAAGGCAGTGCAATATCTTTTTGATCCATCCCTTATGCTTGACCAAGCTGTAAATAAACTCTAAATCCTCGAAAAATCAATATCATTAGCCAAGGCCTTTATCTCAGAAAAAAAAGATCCATCTTGACTCTTCCTAACTGGCCATCGAATTACAAGACACGAGACGCACAAGCTAATCAATTTTGAAAAAATATTCTTACCAGTAAAAAAAGCATAGTAATAATTCCCGATGTATTTTCTTGCATTTTTAAAATGATGTATATTTTACCAATCTTTCTTCCGAAAAATCAACATTGATAATGAACAGGCCTATACTAAAATGATTTGTTTTATTGAGATTGTCCTATTCGTATGTCTTTAATTAATTGTATTTTGCTATTGTTATCTATAGTATTAATCAGTAAGAATACAACAGAAGGGTACAAGTCAAAAAGAGACCAGGCGGTCGTGTCAACATTTGAAATGTGGAGACTTTAATTATCAATTAAGTTTTACAAAAGATTGTATCGAGTTTTAATCTCCGTACGAACAATGGGATATACCACGTACTTTACTGTGTATTTTTGTTTTTCTTTATAGATATATTAATCCATGTTGTCTTTGAAAACTTAAAAAGTATCATCCAAATTTCAAATTACATTAAATAAAGGTCAAATCGACTATCATTCATTCAGGTTAATATATATGATTCATATATACTTCATTCAAACTTTTATCATTAATTCAGGTTATTATATATGATTCATGGTAAATCTATCATTGATTCAGGTCACTATATAGAGTTTATGGTAAAAGTTACTATCATTGATCCAGTTTAATGTAAGATTAATTGCAAATCTATCATTGATTCAGGCTACTTTTATCATTGATTTAGGTTACTATAAAGGGTTCAAAAATATGATTCGGGTTATTATAGGATTTATGGTAAAATATGCATTGATTCAGGTTATTATAGGATTTATGGTAAAATATGCCTTGATTCAGGTTACTTATATCACTGATTCATACAAGTTACTATCTTGCGTTCATGGTAAAATCTACCTTGATTCAAATTACTATATTGCGTTCATGGTAAAATCTACTGTATCATTGATTCAGGTTATTATAAGGGATTCATGGTAAATCTTCAAGTTCTTGCAACTCTTCTAAAAGTTATAATATAGTTATTTATCTTACCTGTAAAGGAATTCCTCTCACTATAATAACGGACGTAAATATGAACACATAAAGATTGGTAAACTGAACATTGTAACTTATCAACATTTTTAAAATCAAGAATGAATTTGAATATCAACACAATTTATACAAGGATTTATGTAGACGTCAAGTCTGATCGTCTTGACAGATCTGGTACGACAAGTGATGAACCTTCAGTATATAAATTAAGAACTGTTTCTTATTTCACCAAGGACAGGTCGTAGAGTAAGAAAACTTTATAATAAAACTAAGTTTCTGGTTAGTAAATGTGATGTCAACTCAGTTCAAAGATTTAGGCAATGAAATGATTCGATTATAAAAGGTTAAGATTGTATTTTGACACGTGTCGCCAAAGACCCGAAACAAGATTTCCAGCTACTTGAGAAATTATTATCCATTCTTAATTCAAATGACTTAATGCGTTTCCGTATTAATGGTTTTTTATTTGTATAGTTGTACTGTTTGATCTTCTTAAGAAGTCATAACATATCTTTTGCTCTTGAAATAATGTCACCGATACAGAAGAAGGGTCACTGGTTCAAAAATATGCTAGTCCACAGAAAGCTTAAATACCTACATACGCTTCTTTTACTTGATGTTGTTGACGAACTCTCTGCACATATCTTTCGAAGAGCATTATGCTGCGTTACTATTTTACATGGTTACCCTATCTCTACAAGTGAGCTTCATGACTTTATTGCAATCGATTTGAAAAACACTTTCTGGCATTACTAATTATGGGAATCTGATTCCGGCATACGTACGTTAATATGACTGACGACACATTGATGTTATTAACGATTATCTTGATTGTTCAAACGAATGATACAAAAGTTCCGAATATAAAAAGCAGGTATACGAATATTAATTACTAATTGAGATTAGTTGTTGTACAGTCTTAGAAATCCATGCCATGAACCACTATGTCTTCGATGACATGACTATACTTTTATTTGATATATCTCCAAACTTTCGGCATTGCAATGCGGAACCGATTTTGATGAAACTTAAAATGGATGTTTCGTTTTTACCATCCACACGCCGTGCGGCTGTGGCTGTGGTCCACTATCTTAGACTATGTTTTGATCATTTGGACATGGTCTTGGCAAATTTTTGTAAGTATATTAAATCTTAAATTATCACCGACCCAAAAAGAATTTGTTCATAGATATTGCCTTACTTTTATCATTTGTAACTTTCAAAAGCATATATTTTCATGTTTTCATAAAAGGGCAGTATGTATGAACATATATATCAATTATAAATACTCTTAGCTTTATTGTGAACACTTTTATTACTTCAAAAAAGATATACATTAATGGAATATATTTAATATGAACATAGAATAAGGAATGCATAAAAAGAAAAAAAGTAACATAAGAAGGTAAATATCTTATAGTTTGTATTGCACCATCCTTTGGTACCCTAATTGAGCGAGGCCTGAGGTCTTTTTCATTAAATCAATAAATTGTCATTCCTTTTGAGAAGGTTTACCACCCTAAGGTTTTGGGTGCAATACAGACTACAAATATTTCAAATACAGAACACAAGGGACTTTCCATAAATCAAAATATTATGTCAGATAATGGTCACTTTAACAATACAAGTGCTAATAGTAAACAAACAATTTTGATCCTTTTAAAAAGCATCTATTAAAACATGCCAATATGAATTAGCCTTGACAATTTGAAAATAACCCAAAACATTTACCACAATCAATCTCAATACTCTTTTAATATACATGTACCAACTTGTACCTCAGTCTGTGCTTTCCCTAAATGGATTGTCAAGAGGTTTTGTAAACTTTTTATGTGTATCGACACTGATAGCATCAATTTGCACCATTCTAAATTTCAGTCAGATGTCTGTGGTTGCTACAGCTTTACTAAAACTGAGCATTTCATGACATCACTATTGCAAAGGGCCTTATGTAATACAAGCAGAATATCCAAAGTTTTAGTGTAATTTCAGGAACCACAGACGTCTGATCGAAAATTGGAATGGTGCAAATTCATGTTATCATTGTCCCCAATACACATAAAAAATTTAAAAAACTTTTACAATCCCTTTAATAACCACCTTCTGTTTATTCTTTAATATGAATGAAACCTCTGTGTAACATAATAAAATAAAGGACTAAATCTAACTAATATAACAATTTTAACATCACAAAGTTTCTTCTTTTCTACGTATCCAAAATGGATTTCAATTCCTGAAAAATAAATTTTGAAATTTATTCAGAATAAAATTGGCTTGTGAACACAATAGAGACAACAGTTTTTATCTGATTTTAATGTAATTTGGTATGATCATTTATATTGACGAGTTCTTGGACAAGTTCAAATTTTGCGATAAATCGATGAACGGTTTTGAGTTATTGCCCTTGTCCTTTGTTGGCAATAGAGGTGACAGTTTATGTCAGAATTTTATTAAATAATGTGTGTTTGTTTAAATCAACAATATCTTGCACAAATTAGATTTTTGGTATGATTTGACACAGATAGGTGACTGCCCTTGATGCACTGAAAATTCACAGGCAACCACTTGTTATAAAGAGCTATACCATGCTAAGCATGCTTGATATTTGACAATTACCATATGACCCGCACAGTAGTGGTGATACCAAAGTACAATTGAGGGGTAGGCTTAACATACAGAGTTGTGCAAACAAGGGAAAATCCTACCGCTCGACTGTTATATGGTACCATGTGGGGCACATATGCTGCATATAATCAAGAAAAATTGCCAAAAACTAACCCAGATACAGATGCAGCTATATGAAAAGAGTGAATAAATTGAAGTCACATGGATGGCAACACATTTGTCATTTCATAATGATTTACACTATAGTGGCAGTGGAATAGCTCAAGTCAGTACCAAGTTGGATTGTCATCTATTATGCAATTATGCATCATAGGTTCGAATCCTCTTCAAGGTAAGAAAAATTCTGATGCCTGCCAGTGCTGCCCAGACTATGCCTGGTGTCTTTTCTCACCCCCTAATATTGTATAATATGACCATACCTTTCTAGCAAAATAAGGCAGGACATTAAAACAAGCTCTATGTAAATCTGGACAGTAATATCTCATCTTCATTTCATCTAATTGCTCATAAGTAAAGTTTCTTATTGGTTCTTTCAGGTTTACAGACTGTCAATTAAAAAATAAAGTTAACACTGTGGAGCATCAAATAATCCACTTAATCTGATTCCACTTCCATTAAAACTTCAGCAGGACAAAAAAAAATTCACTCCGAACGAAATTTGGCTCTCATCATTTGTTATGAAATACATATTGTTTTCCACATAGTTGGCAGTTATTTCATCTGTTGATTTGGAGCAAAATGCAGACATCCCAAGTACATTACTATCTAACAAAATTCAAATACAGACAACACCATCGTATGCAACGCAATGCAATTTTGAATTGATGTATAAGTGGTACTGGTAATATATAATTTTGGGACAAGGATAACATTTTGTTGCCCTAATACCAGACAGTAGACAGGATTTGGGTAATTCAGTAATGCAATTAATAATATAAGAATATTATGCAGCAGATCAAAACCACCAGATAACTCCTCTTTCAATTTCTAAATGATGTATCAGCTCCAACCTGTACATTTACCATCCAATTCCTTGAAATCTAACAATATCAAACTACTGTTTCTCCCTTACCTTATCATTACTACAAATAATGTATCCCATATGTCCACCAGTATATGTTGGTGTGTAACCAGAAGCATAAGCATACACAGGAAATATTTCTTTAGCTTGTTTTAAAACTTTTATTATAGTGTCCAGATCAAACCATAAACATTGTCCTAAACATAAACATTAAAGGGAGATAAGTTTATTTCTGTTCTCTTCCAGAACAAGTTTAATTTCGTAAAGAACATTGGCTCAAAAATTGACAACCTATATGTATGCATTTGAATGATTCCCACAGGTGGAATATTTTTTTGAGACTTTTTAACTTGTTTTCTCCAAGTTAAGAGGGTCTGACAAGAAAAAGTATCTTCTTATTTAGATGGTACAAATATGATGTGTGCTACAGGCTGTGCTAATATCTTGGTCTAGGTAAAATTTTCCCTCACTGCACACTGCATTGCATTACCAAAATATACCATATTTACTACTTCAAGAACAGGCAATTTACCTTGACTGCAAATGATGCCTTTAGGTTTTAAGGCCTGATTTAATTCTTCATAAAACTTCTTCTCATAAAGTACCACACCAGGACCTATCATATAACATTGTATTATTTTACAATGAATTCAGTACGGAAAAAGGATAAAATTATTATAACTTTTGTTATTAAGTTGAAAAACCCATTAACAGATTGGTATCAAGTGTTCTAGGTATGCAACTGTTCATGCCCTGCCTCCCATCATAATGATTACGGTATTGAAAATCTTTTTCATGACCTCCCTTACAAGTGAAGACCACTTTCATATGAGATGTTAAAAGCTAAAATTGTGTCAATATTGTCAGTTTAATTGGTATCTAAGCCAGGGTTTCTTGTAGAGTCCGGATGTGGTCCAGGCCTAGTATCAGCATTATTATATTGTCTGTTTTTTTTTTTACATTTTTCAAATTCAGTTGCAAGTACTTTGCAAGTACTCAAGCGAGTTGAGAAATCCTGATCTAAACCCATTTTCATACCCATTGGATCGGGAGCATCTGTAATGATGACATCAAATTCTCCCTTTTTGCTCTCTAAATATTTAATACCATCTCCAACTTGTACTGTTACTCTAGGGTCATTGAGACAGGCGGCCATACTTGGTATAAACTTCTTACAGACATCAATTACTTTCTAGAATACAGAAATTTACAATCTGATTAAAGGCAGCTATACACCACGAGATTAATCTTATGGGAATAATTGTATGTAACTAATATTATCTTGTGTTTTATGCAACAAAATTCAGAACATATGACAAGAAAATGTCAAAGAATTTCATTTGTTTCAATAGGAAATTGATTACACCAATGAGCAGGTGAAAACAAAATATCTCACACTAATTATAATAAAATCAAAGAATAGATGACAAACCTGGTCTATTTCACATAAGATGACCTCTTCTACTGTAGGATATTTTAATACTTCTCTAACCACTCCCCCATCACCACCACCAACTACCAAAACCTTTCAATACAATGTTAAATCAATGCTCAATTCATCATACTACTGGTATACAGATAAGCAGCAAGAAAAATCATTTGTCCATATTGAAACAGCATGATAATAATAATAATAAACTCTTTATTTTACATGGGTCAGAATTAGGCCCAATACATGGTCCTGTCTAACATTCAGCCCATGGGGACAATAAAATGAATGAATGGAATGCACTTTATTGGACTTTTAATGAAGATGGGCATCACATGCAGTGTGTAATGAGGGAAATTTTTCAAATTCAAGGGATCTTTAGTATACACAATTTGTAGCAACTAGGGCTTTCATTTATTGGCCCATTTGAACCATTAAACAACTTCTCCAGAAATTGATTTTAGTTAGTTATTGAACTGTGATGTCCCATTTGATGCTATGTTTTGCTGTTTATTTCATTGCCTGGGTTTCCCACTGTTATCTTTTGTTCAATTTATCATTCCTTTGGACATTTCAAAGTGAATTTTCATCAAAATATTCTACAGCAGTGGTTTTAAACCTTTTTTTATGTGTCCCCAAATTTTATAAGAGATAATGTTAGTCAAGGCTGTGTAAAGTGTATTCATATGAGATGTTGTATAATATTGTAGTTGAAGAGTTCTTTTTTTTTCATGTGTGACACATCAAATGTCCCCACAGAAAACATCCAATTGAGATCATGTCCCATGGTTGAAAACCTAAGTGTCATCAAGCCAGTTTATCTTCTACTATTACAATGAGCTTGGTCTTATAGATACAACAGAACACCTGTATTTATTGTCTTACAAGTTCTGTGAGCATCCTTGTTACAGATAACCCTCTCACCTTTTTAGGATCCTGATGACTGTTTAATGGTAAATGTGCTATCATTTCTTGATAAGAAAATTCATCTCTTTCTGTACATTGTATGACTCCATCTAATACCAACACCCGTCCAAATGATACACTGCAAAATAAAGACCTTCATAAAACAAGTGATCTCTCGATATGCTGTTAACTATTCTACAAGCAATTATATTTTTTCACATGCACGTATGATTCAAATTCTAAATACAAAATAGACTCTTGTTTATGTTTTGACTAGCTTAATAAGGCTAGGGTTCAATCCAAGTATAGGTGAAGATAATGCCTTCGAGTTTACCACCTGTCAGTGATGCAGGCAATAACTCTAAAGCCATTCATCCAATTATAACTAATTTCAAACTTGACCAAGATCTTATCAATATATACATTAATACTAAGTTTCATTAAAATCAGTTAAATATTGTAGTCTCTATTGTGCCTATTGTGGCAAATCCTGAAGTCATCATTACATACTTGTTATGTTGTATCTAAGATTATGATGTCATGACTCTTCTGAGGTCATGTTTTCAAGAATCTAATCCTCCCACCATTTTGTGATTTGACCCTTCTCTTGTTATGTGGTTTCTAAGATTGTGACCTCATAAACCTTATGAGGACATATTGTAATTTTAATCTTAACTGCCTTCCACCATTTGTAGTTTGTTTCTTCCCCTGATGGAGTCAAAACTTTTTTGACGAAAAGTTGGGTATTAAAGGATGGTATTCGATTTCAAGTTTTATTATTTATTACACATTTCTATGTGGGCGCTAAAAATACATTAAAGTTATTCAGGCAGAATAATATTTGATAAGGCTTAAATATGTGGAGTATATGGCCCATTATGTTTCAGTAATAATATAATATTATACCATGAATTTGTTAAGCTTATCTTTGGGACTTCAGAACTGTCCAATTGAAACATATTTATCACATAGGGCCTTTGCGATTAGTGACATCACAAAACACTTAGTTTTAGTTTTGAATGGTGCAAATTGATGCTATCAGTGTCTCCAGTATACATTCAAAGTTTAGAAAACTTCTTTAAATCCCTTGAACTACTGTAACCCAGTGCCAAAGTAGAACGTAAAACTCCATTTCATTTCATTTCATTTTAACAGACTGCCTTCGGCTGAATAGTAACTTTCAACCACCCTAATCTCATCTCAATATCCTACATCAAAACATGTAAGCTTAATCATTAAAATAAATTTAATATGGGGTAATATTGATTCTGAACACATTCTTCAATCTATTACTAACTTATTGCAAATGAGTCCATTTTTAAATTGAGCATGTCAGTTCTTTTGGAACACCAAACTCAGCACAACATTCCTACAGAGGCGTTCACATATAGTTTGAGTATTATACTATACTAAAATTATGGTGAATCTATCCAACCATAAAGCTCATACTGAAATATGAACCTTACAATTCACCTTTTATTAATATCAAATTTCATATGACCTTTTTCACATCAGCCTTCATCAATTGTTATTGTGATATTATATTTAATATGAGAACATGACCTCTCTGTACTACTAGTAATTTTACTAAAATAAAATTATAATTGAATTGATGCCTACTTATTTGAAAATTGTGCCTCTATTTTTATACGCCCACATCTCTCTATGTGGGTGTATATTGTCGGCACCCCTGTCCGTCCGTTCCATGTCCGTCAACATTTGCTTGTAAACGCTCTATTGCCCTTGCCCCAAAATCTTGAATATGCTATTACTCTCTTAGTTTTCAACCGATTTTGATGAAACTTAAAATGGATGTTTCGTTTTTACCATCCGCATGCCCGGTGGTCGTATATATGGCTGTGGTCCACTATCTTATATTCATAATCGATGATGTTTCTGTAGCATTTCTAGGCCTAAGCATCAGAACTGATTTTTACCTATGAAGAATTTAATTTAGTTATATACTGTGGAACTGACCTAAAATGCCTCCAACCAAAATATGTCAATTCGCTCCTCTGCATAATTATAATGTTATGGCAAAGATACAAATTAGCGTCTGTAATTCATCATGTTGAATTCAAACTCATAAGATATAATATATGTAGTTTTTCTTATTGGTTTGAGGGACTTGCTAACCATGAGCTTATGGGTTCAATCCCCTGTTGGTAAAAGATTATCAAGATTTTCCAGTCCTGATGGGCTGACGAGTGTAGTGTATTAGTAGGCATTATAAAGTATCCAGGACAAGACTAGGAGTTTTGTATATTGATAGCCTTAGTATGGTATTAAATTTTGTTACATTTAAATGATTCAATGATTTAAATCAGCCAACCCTGCTAATATATGGGGAATATTTCCAAAAAACTTTTAAACATGCATAGACAACAATTGGAAATAAATATGTCTCCTACATATTCTAAAGGTTCCTACTAAATATATCGAATCTTTGTGAGGTCCAACATTAAAACTTGTTTAAGCTGCTTGTTCAACAATTAGTACCGGTAGCCTACATTCCTTTTAACATTAACCCCTTTATAACAAATTCAGTTTGAAGTACGGTAGATATTAATAAGATGTAAGAAGCATATTATAAGCTTATTTCAATAAAAAATTTTAAGGTATAATTTAGGAAGCTTATGATAATGAATATTTTGCATACTGCCCCTTTAAGGCTAGTTTTAGGATTTAAAACATGTTCTTTATATATTTTTACTGTATAAAATGAATGATATGTGTAGCCTGTAGGCCTAGTCTGCTGAAAACAACAAAAAATGTTATCTATTAAGAGTGAGTGGGTTTCGGAATAAGTTAAATCTTTTACCTACCTTTTAAAAACTAAGATGTCTTGAAAATCGGACTTTTCATGGTAGAGGATTTCCTCAATTTCAAGTGATGTACAATATCCTCTCCATTCGTCGTCTGCTTCTCGAAACCAGTTACCATCAATCTTAGAATTAGACATCTTTTCCTGTTTTTACCCACTTCAAAACTGAAGTGTCAAAATACTCTCTCTCTCGCTCTTTGAGTCTCAGTCGAAAGGCGAAAAATAAAATTGTCGTTTGTTTACAGATGAGCAAGTCCACTGTCACTGAACTGTGGAAGCGTTCACTATTTTTTTCAATTTTCCAAATGGCCTAGTTTGAATGCTAACTTACTCCCGACCTACAGTGAACACATAGGAACCTAATGATACCGGTCCATTGGCCGAACATGAATTGAAAAGTAGAATCAAAGTGTACTTAGATCAAGCCTATCTAATCTAAATGTTTACCGTAGAAAACACAAGTTTTGCCAAGGCCGGAGATACCACGTGTTTCTAAAAATAGAATATTCTATATATAGCATTGGGACATCCTGAGAGACAACTCTTTCATGGTTCGTTGCGAACTACCAGACGTAAGGATTGTAGAGATGTAGGTTGCAGAGATTATTTGGAATGATGTACAGTGTGATATAGAAGAGAATAGAACTTCCGATTTAAAAAGTTGATAAAACACTGTTTTATAAAACTATTTTATTTGAGTTATTGAAACTCCCTTAATTTTTGTCATGTGAACATTCTTCACGAATTTTGACCAATACATTTGATACACTAAACCAGCTAACAAGTTGAAAATATAATGCATTACAAAGAATAAAATTATCACATTTTTGCGATTATCTGAAAGAAGTTAAGAGTTTCTTATACTTCTATCTGGAATATCCTGATCACAGACAAACAAATTCATCATCTTGATATTCCTGCATTTCTAAGTTCTGTGAAAAAAGAAATCATGTTATTCTCTCTCATAATTTTTTTAATTTAATTTGATTCAATTTAATTTGAATATATACCTATTTATTTTAAAATGAAAAATAACGAAAGAAAAGAGTGATTTGGGAATTTTAAATGAAACCATGAAACACCAAAATGGACACAAGAAGCAATGTAAATTGGCTGGCCGAGTGTATTTATAGCGTCAAAAGTGCGGAAAGCGTTAAGGTGAAATGAGAATATATCTCACAATAAGCACGGGCCTAGGTCTAATTTATTTCAAAGTGCTGATTCTCTTCTTAGTAATCTGTGGTTAGTTTAAGAATGATTTCAGTTGGTACCGACACTCGTCTTGTGGTAGTGGTGTTTCATGATTGTCGGCAACCGGTTCAAAGGCATGGATCTACTGTTGTTATTCTTGTTTATCATTTTTTACTCTTGAAAGTATTTTTGAAATAATTTACTGATAAGTTTACACAATTAGTTTTCAGTGTTTACAAGATGATTCGACAAGTTATCATTTTCACTGGTCATAACCCCGTCACACCGGAAATTATAGAAATATATATCAAGGCATGTTAGATGTTGACCTGTTCTGCTGTTGAAGTTGTTTAATCTGTTTCTAATTGACCGGATTAATTTACTGATAAATGTTCACCTTTCTGGACTCTGTTGTTAGTTTTACTATAATAAACAATTTTGATCCCAGTTTTTTAAGTTTCAATTAAGAGCGCAGTATGATTGGACAAGCTATCATTTTCATTGGTAAGTATATATGTTTTTAAGTTTCATTAAATACAATTTTTGAATAAGAATTGTTTTTCTTAAGTTGATATGAAACCAAACTTTCGTTTCGTTTTTTTTATTGGCTTTTAATTTTAATGTAGCCCAACATTGGAGAGGGAAGAAATTTGATGAGCTGGCGGTGTCATCAAACAGATTAATTTTCACGAAGGCCACTATTAGTCCTAGTAACCGAAGTGACTAAATTAAAATTAAAAGATAATAAAAAACTAAAGTTTCGCCTGATTTTTATACATGAAATTGGGGGCGTATATTGCCATCACCCATGTCCGTCCGTCCGCCGGTCCGTCCACAATTGCTCGTAAACACTCTACAAGACACAATTCTTGACGGATTTTGACAAAACTTGGTGTATTGTTCGTAATCACCTAAGGATGAACCCTCTTGAAAATCAGAAGAATCGAAAAATATTTAGAAGGAATAACTGCCCTGCCCTAGAGAACGCGTTCAATTTTTAGCTCGTGACCACTCTGAAAGACACAATTCTTGACGAATTTTGACGAAACTTAATCACCCAAGGACGAGCCCTATCGAAAATCAGAAAAATCGAAAAATATTTAGTATCAGTTATTGCCCATGTTCTTGAGAACGCTTTCCAATTTTAGCTCTTAAAAGCGAGATTCTTGTCGGATTTTGACAAAACTCGGTTTCCTTATTCAGTAGCGCGCTGAAGGTTGAATATTTGCCTTCTAGAGTTTTCCCGAGATAAAAATTTAATATGTTTTCAAGAATAAGGGCAATAATTCATACTCAATGTTATTCAGTATCGCCCTAAAAAGTTCAAAAGAAGTGTATGACTGAAGGTTGAATATTTCATACTAGTGATTGTTACTGTACTACTAAATATTTTTAATCAAAATCAAAGCTGCCGGAGGGCGTTTATTACCTTGCCTGGCAAGATATCTTAACTGTTGTTAGAAATGATTGTGTATTAAAAACAGGTCCAAATTACATTTATCAATTTTGAAAAAAATAATGTTTAATTATATGATACAATAAATGTCAGAACTAGGAGATTCAAAAAGTTTTAAAATGTAAAGTAAACTTTCAGGTTGTTGGAGTCTCTGTTTTCTAACAGAAAGCAAAGCCGCTAATACTGGACTTAAACCAAGTATTCTTGGTAAGTAATTCATTAATAGTTCATTTCTGTCAGTGTTTTAGCTATATCAGTAACATTTTATAAAACTTCATTTCGGGAAGGGAGAGTTTGATTCTCCCAAATGTACAGGCCTATTTAGAAAATATAAATAAGCTTCCTTGAACTGCTGTATAGTTTTCTTCTGTTCTGATCTGAAATTAGATAAAATAAAATGGAGTTTAGTTAGTTATATATTGTTAATTATCTTTTGTTTTGCTACAAACAAGATTGTAATTTAAGTTCTGGTTATTTGAATGTGTAACTATCATCTTGGCTAAGTTATATTCTATAATACTTGAGTTACTGTAAATATTTTAGCTAAGTAATATTCTATAATACTTGATTTACAGTCAATATTTTAGCTAAGTAATAGTTTATAATACTTGAGTAACAGCCTATATTTTAGCTAAGTAATATTCTATAATACTTGAGTTACAGTCAATATTTTAGCTAAGTAATATTCTATAAAACTTGAGTTACAGTCAATATTTTAGCTAAGTTATATTCTATAATACTTGAGTTACAGTCAATATTTTAGCTAAGTTATATTCTATAATACTTGAGTTACAGTCAATATTTTAGCTAAGTAATATTCTATAAAACTTGAGTTACAGCCAATATTTTAGCTAAGTAATATTCTATAATACTTGAGTTACAGTCAATATTTTAGCTAAGTAATATTCTATAAAACTTGAGTTACAGTCAATATTTTAGCTAAGTTATATTCTATAATACTTGAGTTACAGTCAATATTTTAGCTAAGTTATATTCTATAATACTTGAGTTACAGTAAATATTTTTGAGCTAAGTAATATTCTATAATACTTGAGTTACTGTCAATGTTTTAGCTAAATAATATTCTATAATACTGGAGTTACAGTCAATATTTTAGCTAAGTAATATTCTATAATACTTGAGTTACAATCAATATTTTGGCTAAGTAATAGTCAATCATACTTGAGTTACTGTCAATATTTTAGCTAAGTAATATTCTATAATACTTGAGTTACAGTAAATATTTTTGAGCTAAGTAATATTCTATAATACTTCAGTTACTGTCAATGTTTTAGCTAAGTAATATTCTATAATACTTGAGTTACAGCCAATATTTTAGCTAAGTAATATTCTATAATACTTGAGTTACACTCAATATTTTGGCTAAGTAATATTCTATAATACTTGAGTTACAATCAATATTTTGGCTAAGTAATAGTCAATCATACTTGAGTTAATACTTGAGTTACAGTCAATATTTTTGAGCTAAGTAATATTCTATAATACTTGAGTTACAGCCACGATTCTTGACATTTTAGTACATGTATGTTTTTATTTTTCAGCTAGTTTTGAAAACCCAATAAAGAAATGTGGTATTGAAACTTTGTTGTTTTACCAAAAGATGTTCCACATTGATGACGTTGACGATGATGATGTAGTAGAATATGACGATTTAGTCTATGAAATTCAAAGATCTGATTCTAATAATGATGGTATTTGGACGTATGAAGAAGCACTGACAGACGTCGACTATGAAAATGTCACGGAAGAGCACTTTCTGTCATATGACCACAACGGAGACGGTCATATTTCAAGTCGAGATGCCTGGCTTGTTTTCGAGTTACTACCAGGAACTGGAAATTACCTTAATTTTGAGGATTTCCTAATTATCCAAGCTACACGAGAAGACAAATCACAGGGACCAGAAATAGATATTAAAGCCTTTGTCCATGCCGTGAAAGATTTTAGAATCATCGATATGGATGACGATTTCATTTTGACGAGGAAGGAATTTAGAATGAGATTCAAAAGCGCTGATAGGAATAAAGACGGGCAGTTGACGGGATCAGAAATAAGAAATCTTTTTCCAATGAGAAGCACCCCTCCACCAAATATCTGTGGAAATTGGAATGTCGGCTGCTCACAAGATGACGCCATGGCGTTATTTGATTCAGCAGATACGGAAAACAGGTCGCAACTTTCTGTTGATGAATATATTCGACATTTCGGTCCCTTGGTTAAAATTTAAGATGGTATATATAGAATCCAATTGTGTTTGACCAAACACATTATGAAATAAAATACTTTCATTGAATCTTCAAAATCATTTCCTTCAAACGTATTTTAAACCATAAAAATGAATAGATTCGACCATTGTTATCTGATATTATTCTGGTCTCACATTATGGCGAATATTCTTGCCAATATGAATATTTGAATTTCGCTGTGAATTAGCCCAAAAATTGCGATTGGATAGTGAATATTTTCATCTCGGTCACCAGTCGATTAATTGATGAAATTTACTTGAAAAAATCGAAAAATGTTTCATAAGAGTAATTGACTTTGTTCTTGAAAACATCTTTTAAATTTTAGCTTTAACACTAAAAGGCATGATGATTTTGACAAAACTTGGTGTTATTATTCAGTACCGCGCTGAAGGTTGAATATTGGGCGAGAAGTATAGTATCTGTTATGTACTGATTGTTTTTAGTTTACTATGAACAATATTATCATTTAAGTTCTTATTTTTTGAATATGCAACTATCATATGAAGTTTGAATATTTCCCGTATAGTGTTTTCACGATCAGATTGGGGGTAACAAACAAACACGATAAACTTCATTATGTGTTTGTGGCAGATTAAATATGAGTTATTAAACATATTTAATACGAAAGAACAAATGACAATTTTATAAACAAGGCTGTAAATTATATAAATAATATTTACAATATGTAAGAAAAAATTACAATTTATGAAACAATTTTGCAGTTTTTGGCACAAAAAAGAGGCCATGTCGTAACAACTTGTAAGTGTCATCCTTGAAGGAAAATGAAACTTAAATAGGAGATAAACAGGAAAACAAATACAAAGGACATATTTAAACCATGGCCTTAAATAAAGGATGTGGGTGGGTGAACAAACTATGACAGACTTAAACTGTGTTGCTTATCTTAGGTATATAACTCAAGTAGATAGCACCGCGTGAGATACTTGTTAGCCAATAGATGGGCAGTATTAGGGATATTGACCAATGAAATGATAGTTCAGCGAAGACCACTGTTTATTAAAGGTGATCATTCTTTCAACCAGTCGGTGTGCAAAATCACACTTATTAACCAATCGAAAGATAGATCAGAATACTGATATCACTCAATGAAATAAAGTAACGTTGTTTACACTTCGACAAATATAATATACCCCACATTCGATCAACCACGTCAATAGTAAATTAAAGTTACCCTGTCACTGATAATTACTTATTTTATTCATAAAATATCAAATTGAACACGTTTTTTAGAACAAGGGCAATAACTCATACTCAAGATTATTCAGTATCGCCCCAAAAGAAGTATATGACTGAAGGTTGAATATTTCATACTGGTGATTGTTACTGCACTGCCAAATATTTTTATTCAAAATCAAAGCTGCCAGTGGGCGTATATTACCTTTCCTGTCAAGCTATCTGTACTCTTGAATGTATTTTTTAAATATAGATAAAGGCATGCCAGATGTTGCTCTGTTGTTATCCATATTGAAGAATAATTCTGTTTCTGGCTGACTTGAATAATTTACCGATAAGTATAATTATGGGCCTACACAATTAGTTTTTAGTGTTTACAAGATGATTCGACAAGTTATCATTTTCACTGGTCATAACCCCGTCACACCGGAAATTATAGAAATATATATCAAGGCATGTCAGATGTTGACCTGTTCTGCTGTTGAAGTTGTTTAATCTGTTTCTGTTTGACCGGATTAATTTACTGATACATTTTCACCTTTCTTGACTCTATTGTTAGTTTTACTATAATAAACAATTTTGATGCCAATTTTTTTTAACTTTCAATTAAGAGCGCAGTATGATTGGACAAGCTATCATTTTCATTGGTAAGTATATATGTTTGTAAGCTTCATTAAATATAATTATTGAATAAGAATTGTTTTTTTCAATTGATATTAAATCAAACTTTAATTTTGTTTTATATTAGCTTTCAATTTTAATTTAGCCCAGCATTGGAAAGGGAAGAAATTTGTCCCTAACTAAAATTAAAAGTTAAAAAACGGAATGAAAGTTTGGTCTAATTTTAACTGTTGTTAGAAACGATTGTGTATTAAAAACAGGTCCAAATAACTTTTATAGATTTTGAAAAAATAATGTTTAATTATGATACAATAAATGTCAGAACTGGGAGATTCAAAAAGTTTTAAAATGTAAAGTATTCTTTCAGGTTGTGGGAGTCTCTGTTTTCTAACAGAAAGCAAAGCCGTTAATACTGGACTTACACCAAGTATTCTTGGTAAGTAATTCATTAATAGTTAAGTTTCTGTCAGTGTTTTAGCTATATTAGTAACATTTTATAAAACTTCATTTCGGGAAGGAAGAGTTTGATTCTCCCAAACGTACAGGCCTATTTAGAAATATAAATAAGCTTCCTTCAACTGCTGTATAGTTTTCTTCTTTTCTGATCTGAAATTAAATAAAATAATAACTTCAGGCGAGAGTTTAGTTTGTTATATACTATTAATTATCTGTAGTTTGCTATGAACAAGATTGTAATTTAAGTTCTGGTTATTTGAATGTGTAACTATCATCTTCTTATTATAGGCATGAATGAAATTCTCTTGTAGACTGTCATAATTGACATGCCGGCATTATGATAAATATTCAGTCCTGTCGGTCTTACTGTACTCAATCCATTGGGCTTCGCTAGCTTGACGCAATATCCTCTGGCAAGTCAATTGATATGCGCCTAGGGTTATACAGTCAGTATTTTAGCTAGATAATATTCTATAATACTTGAGTTACACCCAATATTTTTAGCTAAGGTATATTCTATAATACTTGAGTTACAAGTAGCTAAGTAATATTTCATAATACTTGAATTACAGTCAATATTTTAGCTAAGTTATTTTCTATAGTACTTGAGTTAAAGTCAGTATTTTAGCTAAGTAATATTTTATAATACTTGAGATACACCCAATATTTTGGCTAAGTTATATTCTATAATACTTGAGTTACAGCCAATATTTTAGGTAAGTTATATATACTATAATACTTGAGTTACACCCAATATTTTAGGTAAGTATTATTCTATAATACTTGAGTTACAATCAGTATTTTAGGTAAGTAATATTCTATAATACTTGAGTTACAATCAGTATTTTAGTTAAGTAATATCTTATAATACTTGAGTTACAGTCAATAATTTAGCTAAGTAATATTCTATAGTACTTGAGTTGCACCCAATATTTTAGGTAAGTTATATTCTATAATACTTGAGTTACACCCAATATTTTAGTTAAGTTATACTTTATAATACTTGAGTTGCACCCAATATTTTAGGTAAGTTATATTCTATAATACTTGAGTTACAGCCAATATTTTAGGTAAGTAATATTCTATAATACTTGAGTTACAGTCAATATTTTAGCTAAGTAATATTCTATAATACTTGAGTTACAGCCAATATTTTAGCTAAGTTATATTCTATAATACTTGAGTTACAGTAAATAGTTTAGGTAAGTTATATTCTATAATACTTGAGTTACAGTAAATATTTTTGCTAAGTAAAATTCTATAATACTTGATTTACAGTCAATATTTCAGCTAATTAATATTCTATAATACTTGATTTACAGTCAATATTTTGAGCTAAGTAATATTCTATAATACTTGAGTTACAACCAATATTTTAGTTAAGTAATATTCTATAATACTTGATTTACAGTCAATATTTCAGCTAATTAATATTCTATAATACTTGATTTACAGTCAATATTTTGAGCTAAGTAATATTCTATAATACTTGAGTTACAACCAATATTTTAGTTAAGTAATATTCTATAATACTTGAGTTACAACCAATATTTTAGTTAAGTAATATTCTATAATACTTGAGTTACAACCAATATTTTAGCTAAGTTATATTCTATACTACTTGATTTACAGTCAATATTTTAGCTAAGTAATATTCTATAATACTTGAGTAACAGCCTATATTTTAGCTAAGTAATATTCTATAATACTTGAGTTACAGTCAATATTTTTGAGCTAAGTAATATTTTATAATACTTGAGTTACAGCTAATATTTTAGGTAAGTTATATTCTATAAAACTTAAGTTACAGCCAATATTTTAGGTAAGTAATATTCTATAATACTTGAGTTACAGTCAACATTTTGAGCTAAGTAATATTCTATAATACTGGAGTTACAGTCAATATTTTAGCTAAGTAATATTCTATAATACTTGAGTTACAATCAATATTTTGGCTAAGTAATATTCTATAATACTTAAGTTACAATCAATATTTTGGCTAAGTAATAGTCAATCATACTTGAGTTACAGTCAATATTTTAGCTAAGTAATATTCTATAATATTTGAGTTACAGTCAATATTTTAGCTAAGTAGTATTCTATAATACTTGAGTTACAGTCAATATTTTTGCTAAGTAGTATTCTATAATACTTGAGTTACAGTCAATATTTTAGCTATATAATATTCTATAATACTTGAGTTACAGTCAATATTTTAGCTAAGTAATATTCTATAGTACTTGAGTTACAGTCAATATTTTAGCTAAGTAATATTATATAATACTTGAGTTACAGTCAATATTTTAGCTAAGTAATATTCTATAATGCTTGAGTTACAGTCAGTATTTTAGCTAAGTAATATTCTATAATACTTGAGTTACAATCAATATTTTGGCTAAGTAATATTCTATAGTACTTGAGTTACAGTCAATGTTTTGGCTAAGTAATATTCTATCATACTTTTGAGTTAAGGCCACGATTCTTGACATTTTAGTACATGTATGTTTTTATTTTTCAGCTAGTTTTGAAAACCCAATAAAGAAATGTGGTATTGAAACTTTGTTGTTTTACCAAAAGATGTTCCACATTGATGACGTTGACGATGATGATGTAGTAGAATATGACGATTTAGTCTCTGAAATTCAAAGATCTGATTCTAATAATGATGGTATTTGGACGTATGAAGAAGCACTGACAGACGTCGACTATGAAAACGTCACGGAAGAGCACTTTCAGTCATATGACCACAACGGAGACGGTCATATTTCAATTCAAGATGCCCGGCTTGTCTTCGAGTTACTACCAGGAACTGGAAATGACCTTAATTTGGAGGATTTCCTGTTTATCCAAGCTACACTAGAAGACAAATCACAGGGACCAGAAATAGATATTAAAGCCTTTGTCCATGCCGTGAAAGATTTTAGAATCATCGATATGGATGACGATTTCATTTTGACGAGGAAGGAATTTAGAATGAGATTCAAAAGCGCTGATAGGAATAAAGACGGGCAGTTGACGAGATCAGAAATAAGAAATCTTTTTCCAATGAGAAGCACCCCTCCACCAAATATCTGTGGAAATTGGAATGTCGGCTGCTCACAAGATGACGCCATGGCGTTATTTGATTCAGCAGATACGGAAAACAGGTCGCAACTTTCTGTTGATGAATATATTCGACATTTCGGTCCCTTGGTTAAAATTTAAGATGGTATATATAGAATCCAATTGTGTTTGACCAAACACATTATGAAATAAAATACTTTCATTGAATCTTCAAAATCATTTCCTTCAAACGTATTTTAAACCATAAAAATGAATAGATTCGACCATTGTTATCTGATATTATTCTGGTCTCACATTATGGCGAATATTCTTGCCAATATGAATATTTGAATTTCGCTGTGAATTAGCCCAAAAATTGCGATTGGATAGTGAATATTTTCATCTCGGTCACCAGTCGATTAATTGATGAAATTTACTTGAAAAAATCGAAAAATGTTTCATAAGAGTAATTGACTTTGTTCTTGAAAACATCTTTTAAATTTTAGCTTTAACACTAAAAGGCATGATGAT